CGCGTCCGGCGATTGTGAGTTCTGACCTCCACGTCAACCCACGACGCAAGCGCAGTCTGGACCCCAACCTTCAGAACAACATCAACCAGCAGGCCCACCACAACAAAAACCGGCAAATGCAGCAACAGCGTCACCTTCGGCGCAAATTCATGACGGAGACCGTGCGAGGAATGGGGGCTCCACTGCTACTGTTGGGGGGCAGCCAGGCAGTGCGGTGGGTTCCACCGGAAGTCAGGAGCAATCGGCGGAAGGCCCTCAAAAAACACCAACGCCGTCGGTTGGCACTGCGGTTTCGTCAGCAAAGACAACAAACGGGGCAGCAGATGCACCCGAAGGTACACAAACACCTTCAAACCCCCAAGGCCGATCTGCCACGCCCAACGCCACCACTCCCGCCAGCGACAATGATGGAGCCGCCACCACGACGGCGACCACCCACAGTTCGAGTGATGGGAACGACGCAAAAATCAACGCGGAAGGCAGCGCCACCAACAGCAATACCACTCAGAAAGCCGTGGCAAATGCTTCGGATAGCGGTGCCACCTCCACTTCGTTTGCGCGTGCATCTCCGCTGTTGCTGCTCACGGCTGCCCTTGCCTGTGCCGCTGCCGCTGGGTAGGTGGTGAGTGGCAAAAGATACTCGCACACTGACACCCTAACAAGGACGACGCGTATTATTTTTGCGCCCAGTTTGCTTGTCGTCCCTGTGGGTCAATCATTCACTCTCTCCTGTGCTCTGAGGGATGGTTTCTTTCCTTCTTCTTCTTTTCTTGATTCGCTACCCCATGCACGTTCCCATGGGCGGCGCACCCTTTTCCCCCTTCTGTTTGCTGCCCCCATACACACACACACGCGGTGCCGGCCGCGTTGCTGTGCGCCGCACGGAGTGCCCAAATGAGTCACGAGGCCGCTGCCACCGTGAGGTGAGTGTGCGTGTGGTTGAGTGTGCGTGGGCTCGTGCAGCATGGGCGATGTTTTTTCTTCGTGCAGGTAATAAAATATACACACACTCCCTCACGGTCCTCTTGTGCTTCTGGACACGTGAAAGTGAAGCAACACCACCTGCCGAAGTGAGTTGGTTTTATTTTCATTTTATTTTGGGAGGGGCGTTGCGGGGTTTCTTTTGCTTTTAATTTTTTTATTCGTTGGGGCAACTCACTGCGGCTCACGCTGAGTTTGTGCGCCGTGTCCGCCGTTGTGTCGCT